CTGGTGGCTCAGGACCCTGACTCAAAAAAAAAAAAAATCTAGCGCCTTAGCCGCTTGAGCCACAGGCGCTGAGCCAACTTTCATCTTTTCTGATACAATCATGTAAAGCTATAAATTTTCTTGTAAATATTGCTTTAGTCATGCAAATTTTCATATGTTTTCACTCTCACCTGAGGTCATTTCACATTGACTTGGGTTACATATTTATATTTGGATTCACTTTTTGAGATCCCTTCTAAACTTGTTGATTTCATGCTTTTTTTTTTTTTTAAGACAAAAAAAACTCTGTTGCCCAGGCTAGAGTGCCATGGCATCAGGCTAGCTCACAAGCAGCCTCAAACTTCTGGGTTTAGGTGATTCTCCTGCCTCAGCCTTTTAAGTAGCTGGGACTACAGGCACACACCACAATGCCTGGCTAATTTTTTTTTTTTTTTGGTAGAGACGGGGGTGCAGGAATAGGCTGGTCTTGAACTCCTAAGCTCAAAGGATCCTCCCTCCTTGGCTGCCCAGAGTGCTAGGATTATAGGCATGAGCCACCATGCTTAGCCTGATTTCATGCTACTTTTTAAAAAAAGTTTAACATTTACATGATCCCATAAGTCAAAAATATACAGAAAGGTATGGTCAGAAAAGTATTATTCCCTACCTTGTCTTTTCTACCTTTTTCTCAACCACCTATAGCTAACTATTTATTTTAGTTTCTTGTTTAGCTTTTTTGTGTGACACTACATATATGTGTGTGTGTGTATATATATGTATGTATATATACACTTTTTGTCTTATTTTTCCTTTCATATACAGAAGGTAGCATGCTATATATGCACTCTTTGTACTTTTCTTTTTTGCTTAATAATATATCCTTGAAATTGCTGTATTACCCGTCCAAAGAGATATTCCTTACTTTCTCTAAATGGCTATGTGTGTATATACCACAGTTGACAGTCATTGAGTTGATTTCAGTGTTTGTTTTGTTTTGTTTTGTTTGAGACAGAGCCTCAAGCTGTCCCCCTGGGTAGAGTGCTGTGGCATTACAGCTCACAGCAACCTCCAACTCCTGGGCTCAAGCGAGTCTCCTGCCTCCGCCTCCCAAGTAGCTGGGACCACAGGTGCCTGCCACAACGCCCGGCTATTTTTTGGTTGCAGCCGTCAGTGTTGTTTTGGCGGGTCCGGGCTGGGGATTTGAACCCGCCACCTTAGGTGTACGTGGTTGGCGCCTTAGCCGGTTGAGCTATAGGCACCGAGACTGTTTTGTTTTGTTTTGCTTTCATTGAGACAGAGTCTCACTTTGTTACCCTTAGTAGAGTGCTATCATAGCTCATAGCAACTTCAGTCTCTTGGGCTCATGCAGTCCTCATGCTTCAGCCTCCTGAGTAGCTGATACTATAAACACCTGCCACAATGCCTGGCTATTTTTTTTTTTTTTTTGTCTTAGAGACAGGGGGTCTCACTGGTGCTCAGGCTGATCTTGAACTCCTGAGCTCAGGCAGTCTACCCGCCTCAGCCTCCCAGAGTGCTAGGATGACAGGCATGAGCTACACACCCGGCCAGATTCCAGTGTTTTGCAAATTCAGACATTGTTGCAATGAGAAACGTTATGCATATGTACTTCTTTTTAATTGGAAATGTATCATAAGGGTAAATTACTAATGTGGGCTTGCTATGTCAGAGGGTCAATTTATATGCAGTTTGTTAGACATTACCAAATTTCCCTCCATAGGCATTATACAAAATGGCAATGTTTTATCATTTCTTTTACATTTATCAACTGGAATAATTTTGTAAAGAGAAACTTTTGGCTGAGGCAGGGGAAAGATCAAATGAGCCCAGGAGTCTGAGGTTGCAGTGAAGTGTACTTGCCATTGTATTCCAGCCTGGGTGACAGAGTTTCTAAAAACAATAAATAAATAAGTCAATAAGTAAGTAAGCTTCTCATCTACTTGATTGCTTAGTAGTATAGTTTGTATAGGGAAAGTAGGCCAAAAGTTTGAATCTGTTCTTTTGTTTACCAATTTTCAAAATAATTGATTCACTGCTGGGCCTGGTGGCTCAGGACCCTGACTCAAAAAAAAAAAAAATGTATTCACTAGAATTTTTTAACAGTAACTAGTGATCTTTTCCTTAAGTATTATCAGTACAGATGTACAGATCTGAATATATTTCATGTTTTTTAATCTATTGCATTCATTATACTTATTCGTGTTCCAGTTCCATTTTTGGCCAGTGAGAACTTTTTATAGTTGGCTCCTGAGTTCTTTCGTTATGGCCCTAGTAGTGTGTAATCGAATCTTTGCTTATAGCTATGACAAATATTCTAGCTTATCTTACACATTTCATGCTCCAGACTTAAAATTAGCCATTTCTCCCTTGTACCCCAATTGTTTTTAATGGAAAATGGTATTTGGAGACCACATTCTGATCACTAGAGATGTTCTTTTTTACTAGGTAAACTAGAGGATCCCAAAGAGTAAAATTATTTTGGCTAAATGTTGATCATAAAACAGTATGGTATTTAGCAAAAAAGCACTAGAATGGGAGTCATTTCCTCTGTTTATTCATCAAATATTTATTGAGTATCTACCATGTGCCAGGAATTCTTTTAGGTACTAGAGATATTGACAGTGGACAATATAGGTAAAAACTCTGCCTTCATGGGATCTTACAATTTAGTATACTGGCTCAGGATTTTTGTTGTAACTGCTGCTAATGATCCTGACCAATACCTTCCCTTTTGGAGTTTTCATCATTTATAAAATTGTAAAAGTGTTCTAAGTGGTCTGTAGTATCTTTAATTAAAAAGTTTAATAATCTGAGGCTGGGCACAGTGGCTCACGCCTGTAATTCTAGTACTTTGGGAGGCTGAGGTGGGTGAATTGCTTGAGCTCACGAGTTGGAGACTAGCCTGAGTGAGATGGAGACTCTCTTAAAAATAGCTGGCCATTATGGTGGGCCCCTGTAGGCCTAGCTGTTCAGGAGGCTGAGGCAAGAGGATTGCTTGAGCCCAAGAGTTTGAGGTTGCTGTGAGCTACAATGCCACAGCACTCTACCAAGGGCAACAAAGTGAGACTCTGTCTAAAAAAAAAAAAAAGTTTAATAATCCTGTTTCTTGCCTCTAAGCTCATTCAATGTTTGTGAATGTCCTTCCCTCTCTTTTCCCTATTCTCTTACAGAGATGACAGAAGAAGAACAGTTTGCTCTGGCTCTCAAAATGAGTGAGCAGGAAGCTAGGGAGGTGAATAGCCAGGAGGAGGAAGAAGAGGAACTCTTGAGGAAAGCCATTGCTGAAAGCCTGAATGTAAATAGGCTGTGTTGAAAAGTTTGTGGAGATTGAGGTGTTTTTGAGGTGTTATAATTGTATTAGGAACTAGCTATAGTTGTTTATAGGGTTTTTAGTTAACAAATATTTCCCATAATAACTTTAAAAGTCTGTTTTGAATTATTGATTAACCCAATTTGAAGTGTTTTGTTAATTATGTATGAAAGGGTTTTCTTCCACATCACAGATTTTTCAGTCCCTGGCTTAAAAGAACTATAGTAAGTTGACAGCTTCTGAAGAGTTACTAAATACCAAAAGTCCAAAAGGGAGCCAGTTAAGGTGCTTGCCTCAATTCTGTTTTGTGGGGAGAGCAAAGGGAATGAAAACTAAAGTGGGTTATAGAAAAAAAAAAAAAGGACAGTTTAAAATATAATCAAATGGTGTTAAATTGTGATTTGAATATATATGATTGAAATAATTTTATTTATTTTACTCTTAACATTTTTTTATTAAATCATAACTATGTACATTAATACATTTATGGGGAATAATGTGCTGATTTTATATACAATTTGGAATGCTTACAGCAAACTGGTTAACATAGCCTTCACATCACTTACTTACATGTGTTAAGACATTTATACTCTACTCTTAAAGCATATCTTTTTTTTTTAGAGACAGAGTTAGTTTATTGCCCTCAGTAGAGTGCTGTGGTATCACAGCTCAAAGCAACCTCCAGCTCCTAGGCTTAGGCGATTCTCTTACCTCACCCTCTGGATTAGCTGGGACTACAGGTGCCTGCCAAAACGCCCAGCTATTTTTTTTGTTGTTTTTGTTGCAGTTTGGCTGGGTTTGAACCCATCATCCTCAGTATATGGGGCCGGCGCCCTACCCATATACTCTACTCTTAATAGATTTGACATGTACCCTTGCGACATGCACCATAGGTTATGTCCCACTGATTATCCTTCCTCCACCCGGACATTGAAATAATTTTAAATGTGGAGGATACTTGCCAAAGGCAGGTATCTTTTATTTCATTTGCCTCTCTGTTTTAGAAAAGGTTTTAGTATAGTGATTTAGTATTTTGCACGTAGACCTTTAGTGCATTATATGGAATTCATTTGAATTGAACATCTATGTTTTGGGGAGGAGAAACTCTTAATAGCTTTCCTTTTTGTCCTTCCTGTAACCCTTTATGTATAAGTATTTTAATAATAAACGTGGTCTGGTGTGGAATGCTTGTTTCAGAGTTGCCAGCCTTCTGATGCTTCTGCTACCAGATCTCAAGCTCTGACGACTGGACTGTCTTCACGGTCTCACCAAGAGAAGACCATAGACTCTGGAACCACTGAAGGCATGTCTCCCTGTTCTGACTCCTACTCACCAAATACTTCCATATTAGAGGGATTTCATGTTGAGAGTAGATATATAGAAATGCCCTAATTCTTTTGGTGATTTTAAAGAGGTTAAATTAGACAGTAGTTGAGATCTCACTAATACCCAGCATACTCCAAGGAAAAACCAACATTTGGTTAAAGCCAAAGAAGAGCCTTTCTTAACCACATTATGTAATTCTTGGTAAGTGATAGCTTACCAAGCCCTTTTAATAAAAAAGTTTGTCCTTAGCCCTACTTTTTCTCAAATACCTACAGGCATATGGCAGCTGGTACCTCCATCACTGTTTAAAGGCCCACATATCAGTCAGGGAAACGAGGCTGAGGAAAGAAAGGAGCCTTGGGACCACACTGAAAACACTGAAGAGGAGCCGGTCTCTGGCAGCTCAGGAAGCTGGGACCAGTCAAGCCAGCCAGTGTTTGAGAATGAGAACTTTAAATGTTTTGACAGATGTACCGGCCACTTGGCTGAGCACACACAGTGTGGGAAGCCACAGGAAAGTACTGGGAGGGGTTGTGTTTTCAAAGATGCCCAGGGTAGGGGGGACACATTTAGGCACTGTCTGCCTACCCCAGCAGATGCCAAAGGTCTCCAGGACATTGGTGACACTGCGCACTACTTCTGGGGTGTTCCATTCTGCCCTGCTGGAGTAGACCCTAACCAATATACCAAGGTCATTCTCTGCCAGTTGGAGGTTTATCAGAAGAGCCTGAAACTGGCTCAGAGGCAGCTTTTAAAAAAAAAGGGATTTGGGGAACCAGTGTTACCTAGACCTCCTTCTCTGATCCAGAATGAATGTGGCCAAGGAGATCAGGCTAGTGAAAAAAATGGAGGCATCTCAGAAGATATGGGAGATGAAACCAAAGAGGAAAGGCAGGAGTCTAGGGCATCTGTCTGGCACTCAAAAACCAAGGATTTTCAAGAAAGCCCAGTTAAAAGCTTGAAAGAGAAACTTTTATTGGAGGAAGAACCAACAACCAGTCATGGTCAGGTAAGAGTCAGTGATGTTGTAATTAAGGATGATTTATTTACAGATTAAAAAAGGATTATTTTAGCTATTTGTTCTTTTTGTGGTGTTCCCCCCAAGAATATTAAAGTAATACATGCCCACTATAGAAAATTAGGGAAGTACAGGACAGTATAAAGAAGAAAAAAGTTAAAAAGTTTTGAACAAAATATATATTCTTTTATATATAAGCTATGTTCCTTTCCTTTCCTCCACTTCATAGTTTATCCTATATCATTTCCTGTTTATTCATATACTTGAAAACTTAGGAAGTTTATATTCTGTCCTGGATATACCATAACTATTTTTTTATTTACAAATTATTTCTTTTTATTATTTATTTCATTTCATTTTGGTTTTGTGTGTGTGTGTGTGACAGAGTCTCACTCTGTTGCCCAGGCTAGAGTGCCATAGTGTCAGCCTTGCTCACAGCAGTCTCAAACTCCTGGATTCAAGCTATCCTCTTGCTTTAGTCAGGTATTATAGGTGCCCACTACAATGCCTGACTATTTTTTTCTATTTTTATTTTTAATTTTTTACCACCCTACAATGGGTAGATTTTTCTATTTTTAGTAGAGATGGGGGTCTCACTATTGCTCAGGTTGTTTGTAAACTCTTGACCTCAGGGATCCTGCTTTGGCTTCCCAGAGTGCTAAGATTATAGGTGTGAATCACTATACCAGGCAAAAATTATTTTTTATTATTTCTAAAATTAAGTTTTTGAATAGGTATTAATATTCATGTGGCTCAAAATTCAAAACAATAATAAATTAAAAATCTGTCTTCTGTCCCCATCCCCCAGCCAACCAGTTCCCCTCTCTGGACTCAATCTCTGTCACTAGTTACAAGACAGTATTGTATGTAGTACAAGCAGCATACATACTATTTTCCCTACCTTCATTTACACAAATGATATGCACATTATTCTGTACTTTGCTTTTTTCATTTAATATTGCAGTAGATCATTCCATAACAATATGTACAGAGTTTCTTCATTTTTTTTTGTATGTGAAATATAGCACATGTGGATGAATCATAGTTTATTTTATCCAGTGTCCTGTTGGTGAACAGAAGATTATTTCCAATATTTTACAAATGGTACTGCAGTGTATTATTTATTAGAGACAGAGTCTCACTTTATCGCCCTCGGTAGAGTGCTGTAGTGTGCTGTGGTGTCACAGCTCAGAGCAACCTCCCAACTCCTGGGCTTAGGTGATTCTCTTGCCTCAGCCTCCTAAGTAGCTGGGACTATAGGCACCTGCCATAACACCTGGCTATTTTTTGTTGCAGTTTGGCCAGGGCCAGGTTCAAACTTGCCACCCTCAGTATATAGGGCCAACACCCTACCCACTGAGCCACAGGTGCCACCCAATACCACAGTGTTATTCTCATACAGAAGACATTTTATCCACATGGACAATATCTGTAGGATAATTTTCTATAGATGTAATTGGTGGATCAAAGGATATATGCCTTTACAATTTTGTTTGCTATTGCCAAATTGCCTTCCATAGGCATTGTATACACTTACACTCTCACCAGCAATGTGTGAATGCTAATTTCTTCATATTTACATAGTATTGTCAGACTCCTTGATCTTCGCCAGTCTGAGAGATGAAAAATGGTATCTCAGTATAGCCTTATTTGCATTTCTGTTATTACTTATGAGGCTGAACTTTTCCCCCAGATATCTATAACCCATTTGTATTTCCTTTCTGTTTGTTTAGATCTTTTCTTTTTGAGACAGAGCCTCAAGCTGTTCCCCTGGGTAGAGTGCTGTGGTATCACAGCTCACAGCAACCTCCAACTCCTGGGCTCAAGCAAGTCTCCTGCCTCCACCTCCCAAGTAGCTGGGACCACAGGCGCCTGCCACAACTCCTGGCTATTTTTTTTTTTTTTTTTGGTTGCAGCCATCATTGTTGTTTGGCGGGCCCAGGCTGGATTTGAACCTGCCACCTTAGGTATATGTGGCTGGTGCCTTAGCCACTTGAGCCACAGGCGCCGAGCCGTTTGTTTAGATCTTATGGTCATTTTTCTTTTTCAATAATTTTTTGTTTTTTTAGTGGTCTGTGGGTACCTTCTAAATAGTAGGGAAAGTGGTTTTTTGTGATATGAAGTAAAGATAGTTTTCCAGTTTATTTTTTTCTCCAATATAATGATATATTTCTGATTTTGCTTGTAGTGGTTTGTGTAATTTACTGAACCAGTCTCCATTTTGGAACATTTAGATTGCTTCTTTAGTCTTTTTCTGACTTAGCTAGATTTATTATATATGAAAGCTTATATCCTGTTCTCCCAAATATTAAAAATGCTATCATAGAGTTACAGACTGTCAGCTAGTATATAACTTTAAAGAGCATTCTGTTTTATGACTGTACTTTTTTGTTATTTCTATTACTGGACTGGTTTTGTTTTATTCTGTCTCTTTTGTTTTGTTTTTTTTTTTTTGAGACAAAGCCTCAAGCTATCCCCCTGGGTAGAGTGCCGTGGCATTACAGCTCACAGCAACCTCCAACTCCTGGGCTCAAGTGAGTCTCCTGCCTCCGCCTCCCAAGTAGCTGGGACCACAGGCGCCCGCCACAACGCCCAGATATTTTTTGGTTGCAGCCATCATTGTTGTTTGGCGGGTCCGGGCTGGGGATTCGAACCCGCCACCTTAGGTGTACGTGGCTGGCGCCTTAGCCGGTTGAGCTATAGGCGCCGAGCCATTCTGTCTCTTTTGTATTGTGATAAAGGTTCAGGAAATGATGGCTCTGAGGAGCTTCATAGAAAGTATAGAGAACATGGATTTGGAGTTTGAATTTTGGCTTTGGTGTTTTAGTAATTGTATGTCTTTGAGCAAGCCATTTAACCTCTCTGAATCTCAGTTTTATATCTCTGAAATGAGAATCACAATTCTTACTTTTCAACAGTTTGTGTGTGTGTGTGTGTGTGTTTGTTTGTTTGTTTTTGAAACAGAGCCTCACTTTGTTGCCCTTGATAGAGTACCATGGCATCACAGCTCACAGCAACCTCAAACTCTAAATTCAAGTGATCCTCTTGGCTCAGTCTCCTGAGTAGCTGGGACTACAGGCACTTGCCACAATATCTGGCTAGTTTTTCTGTCTTCAGTAGAGAAAGGGGTCTTGCTCTTGCTTAGGCTGGTCTTGAACTCCTGAGCTCAAGCAATCCCACCTGCCTTGGCCTCCCAAAGTGCTAGGATTATAACCGTGAGCCATGGGGCACAGCCTTAACAGTTGTTTTAATGATTAAAGTAAATTTGCGTAAAACAAATAGTATAATACTTAGGAGATTATAGGTACTCAACAAATGTAGTTTTCTCTAGAAAGCCTAAGGTCATTCATTAGGAGTACCTCTAGGAATCATTTTTCTCTAGTAACCCACTTCATCTACATTCTGGAAAGATTGTATGGGAAAAGAAGGCTTTTTCTTTTTTTCTTTTCTTTTCTTTTTTTTTGTTTTTTGGTCAGGCAAAGATAAGAGATGTTTATTAATTTGCTGGCAAATGAGGAGACTGGTGGACTCTCTCAAAAATATCAGCATCCTTCTGAACAGAAGCACAGAGTTTCTGAAGGTTCTGATTAATCGTATAATTCCATAGTAGGCTAAGACAATCTAGCCGTCTGCCCAGATTCATCCCTTCCTCGGCTAAAATGATCTTGTGACCTCTGTGCAGATTAATACCATCTTCAGCTAAAATGATCTTGTGACCACCATCCATATGATTCCCTTGAGCTATCTCCTGTGGCACAAAGAACAAAAGACACTCCCCTCCTGACCACTGGCCTGAGGCAGGGATGTAGGTTTTAGTTCTCAAAAAAGGCGGGGGGTGCGGTAAAGGGCTTTTGAAGAAACTACCCTCCCTTTTCCCAAGTCATTCTTTTGTTACGTATTCCCACTGTCAGTTTTACCCTTCCATATCTATGGGAGGAGAGGAAGGAACAACATACTTACCTTGGGATGCTAGGAAGGGTCTCTTAGAAACTGTTTCTTAGAGGCTTAACTTAAGCCTGCTTCTAAAGAGCCACCCTTATCCAGAGGAGGGCAAGCAGCAATACCTTACTTTAGGCGGGTTCCATGTAATTTTCATTCTAGATAATAGGACTTTGCTTACTTGCTAGGTTACCTCTGCTACAAAGGAGTCCTTTATCATTCGAGTTCCTCCTAATGGGGTTGCACTCAAAAGAAATTCATAGATGACCACAGAACACTGTGTAGCATATCCAAGTGCAGATGGCAGGAAGCAAGGTTTTCCCCCAATGGATATAACCATCAAGTAGCCAAACATGATGATTCCTTGATTTTTTTTTTT